AAGTGGCAAACTATCCCGACAGTCTTCTTGGTTCAATCTTAATTTTGGAGCTTTCGTGACTGCAGAAATTATTCTTTGGTTCTTTCGGTAAAGTCACGTATAAAGATAAAATAATAAATTAAATAATAGCATACGACGTTTCGATTGCAACACAAGCAATCATCATTAGGTATAATGAAATAGCGACACAAAATCTAACCAGAAAACCACAGACAGACATATAAGCAGACAGATGTCACCAAGATACACAGAGAGAGCAACACAGGTACAGAGAGGGGTGATCGTCTCTGTGGGGTGGCCTTAAAAAAAGTATTCTTGGTTCTTTCGGTAAAGTCACGTAGATGGGGAAATAATACAATAATAAAAATGAAACAATAAAATTCTCACGACGTTTCGATTGCAACACAAGCAATCATCATCTGATGATGATTGCATCATCTGATGATGATTGCTTTTGTTGCAATCATCTGATGATGATTGATGATAATTGCATCATCTGATTGCATCATCTGATGATGATTGCATCATCATAAGATGATGATTGCTTGTGTTGCAATCGAAACGTCGTGCGAATTGTAGTGTTTATCTTTATTATTTAATTATTTCCCTTCTACGTAACTTTACCGAAAGAACCAATAATATGAATCCCTGCAGTCACGAAAGCTTTAAATCGAACATTTACCCCGACAGTGATCGGAGAGAGAGAGAGCTGGTCCACATGAAGCTGCTGAGACACACAGCAGCAGGCAACAGATGATGATGGCGATAATGTACTGATGAGTCCTGTCGAGGATGGAACCTGTTTGCCACGGTTATTTTTTGTCAGGAACAATATAGCCGCATAGATTACTCTTACGAGTCGGTGGCTCTGTGTATTATATATGCAGCACGGTGATGTCACATGACCAGTCGCATTACAGAGGTCAGGCTGATGGAGAGTGGTTCTTATTTAGAAAGAAGCACAAAAGACGAATGGAAAAATGCGTCGATACTATTTACGGCTGTCATCACCATTGTCATCATCGGTTACCAGTCTATCCATCGCTGTATGAACATCTCCCCATATAGCAAAACGAAATCTACACTCAGTGTTCCTTTTAAACTGGGTTCAGTCTTTGTGTTCACCCAAAGGATTATACAGTACTCACTCGGTTGAATGTTAACAGCATAATGTATACCGTACATATGAGGTTATGTACCAAGGCCAAATTACAGAAGCAATCTTCGTAAATCTCTCTAGGGCTTTTAATATAGTGTGGATCATATGCCGCTCCTCCACAAACTAAAAACGCCTCTGTACCTGGTCCTGATGCACTAAAGTGGTTAGAGTCTTACAATGCTGGCAGAAAACGTGTTGCCTCCATCAATGGTGTACACACAATCTTCTGAAATCACAAATTGGATTCCCCAGAGCTCAGTTATAATCTCAATTATTTGACATACCTATATCATGCATGCAGATTTTTTTTTACACCTAAAAGTATGCAGGTACACACAGAGGACATGTATGGGCATTGACACCAGTATAGACATAATGCGAAGTACTATGCTTATTACCAACGTTTTATATTTTGAACCTGTCAATGTGTTTTAATAAACTCTACTTTTATATTCTTGGTTCTTTCGGTAAAGTCACGTAGATAGAATTTTTTTTACAAATAATTAAATGTAAAAATTAAAATAATAAAACATTAAAATAATACATTGAAATTAATTAAAGCAAAAAACAACCACGAAAAATTTAAATAGTCGAATACATTTTACACTTAAAATCATTTTAATGTCTTTTTTCTAATTTAAATTAAATTTGATTAATTTTATCGTGGGTTTTTTGCTTTTATTATTTTCAATTAATTATTTTGTATTATTTATATTTTTTATTGTATTATTTTAATTTTTTTTGTTTTCTCTCTCTGTGACTTTTCCAAAAAAACCCAGAATAATAATTCTTGCCGTCACGAAAGCTTAAAGTAACATTTTTTAACTAGGATAACCCTCGAGGGGAAGGATAAGCCACTTCGTTGAGTTATCATTTGTGCCAAGGTCATTTCTGAAAAAATAACCTTATAGATATTAAAAAAAAGTTCAGTTTTATTTGTACATTTTTAAAGTGATTTGAACACATTTGCAAAATTTTGCACTCCTGACGTGTTTTTGTATTGTTTGATGTTGTAAGGTTCTGACCTGCCCCTACAGGACATCTGTGAAAAAGAGCTCATCAGATTCCTCCAGTATAATACAGATTCTGATTCTCAAAAGGGAGAAGGGAGGCGAAGGGGAGGGGCGGAGATGCCTAAATGCCCGAATGATTTTTTTTAAAGCAATGCCCACTGGAGATGCCGTTGAAGGGTTTCCTAGTTTGGTGACATGCTTCTTTATTGCACCTTGCATTGATATATATTCATCGGTTTGGCAATTATGTAACCCTCACCTATCTTGTGAAAACAATTACTTATCTGACAAACTGCAAACATAACCTTCAAAAGTGCTTCACAGATAGTCGAATTATATTATTCCTCGCAAGAAAATAGTCTGAATAGTCTTGGACACAAATATATAGGTGTAAGGATTGATCTTTATATGTTAGCTGTAAAGTATAGATTACAGATGTTAAATATATACAGTATATAATGGACTGTAAATGTAATGACGTGTTGGATTTGCGTGTTTTAATTGACAGCAATATTGGACCTTTGTAAAATGTGAGTGGCCTGGGTCACATGTGAGTTGCTTGTCAGCGATAATGATGAATAACATTTGTAACTATAACTGTTTTTTTTTATTTGACCAGGTAGGCCCACTGAGCTATATAACTATTTTTCAAAAGCTACCTGGCCACGAATGATACCTCAACGAAGTGGATTATCACGTGGAAATTTATAGCAGCCAAATATTCTGAACGCATGTTTCTAAATGTGGAGGGAAAAAATCGGAGGACCCAGAGAAAAAGCCACGTGACCACGGGCAGATAGGCACGCAAACTCCAAATATACAGACGTCAGGGTCAGGATCAGGATCGAACCCACGAACTCCTGTGTACCAGGCGAGGTCGTTAACATCTCGCCACCGTGGCGCCCACACATGTGAGCACTCACACTATAAACATTGAAAATATACATCCCATTGCTAATTAACATGATCCATATTCATATCATTAATGACATTGACATATATCACGTTGACCGTCTTGCATGGATGCTTGTTTATATCATCCTGGAACGGCTCAGTGTGGCGGCATTTTCCCCGTGCGAACATCTCCTCTGGTGGTGAAACATTGTTATCAGCACTACAATCGTGGCCTCTAGGACTTTTCACGACAAATCGTCAGTGACCTTTCTGCGCACTCGTTCAAGTTGCATTGATTAGGTATACCCCTGTGAGCCATGCGGCTCTTGAGTCGGGTGCAACCGCAGAAAAAAAAACAAAATATGAACAGAGAACATCTTAAAGCGACGACGCGCAACAGAAACATCCTGGATAAGCCAGCAAACCTTGTGGCGTGACCACGTGCGCGACCAGGGCTCATGCGCGTGACACGTGGCCACATCATGGGTGGCAGCCGCTGCATTTTTCTTTCTCTACAAACAAAGGAGGTCACATTTTTTTAAAATCCTGCATGCTACACGAGTTTATACTTTATAGCAGCTGTAAAGGCAAACTGGAAAACGCCCTCCTAGACATCTGTGGAACCTACTGGGCATTTGTAAAAAAAATTGCTTAATATTTGATCGGATTGCTCCAGTATAAATACATATTCTGATATAAATAGTATGATTATATGAGCGTGTCGACACAATTTGATACGTACTTTCATTTATAACTAACCGTGGGCTCGCCTTCCCTCCCCGTGTTGATGTGTCTGTGTCTGTATGTATATCTGAACCAGTCCTGGGCCTCCCGTAGGTCGACTCAGCCTCAATTGAGTAAAGGCATCACGACTAGGGAGACAAAGGCAGAAAGGAATCGGGTCTCACACGACACATTGAAAATCACGCGGTGATGTAAATCATATATAAATAATAATATGCCAATGGGGCCGTCCATAAATGACGTCACGCGATTTTTTTACGATTTTTGACCCCTCCCCCCCTAGGTGCGTGACGTCATTTATGGGCGGCCCCAATGGCGAAAGCCGGGCTTGGTTTAGAATTTTTTTTTGCTCGATTATAGTTCTAAAAAAAAAAGAGTTTTTCAATCTGTATGATTTCAAAGTCCATAAGGACGAGTGTTTACCGAATTACATCAATTGCCCCTCTGCCCCCCACCCCCTAGACTCTGCGTCTGTGGCCCCCTACTGGGCCTCGGCATCTTCATTGATCCTGGAGAAATCCGGTGAGCTGTGAAGCTCTTTCTCTCTCTCTCTCTCTCAAATGTCAGAAAGTTACAACAACGTGTCAATAACAACAACAATACCAATTTGAAAAGTCGCGGGCAGTCATTCGGATTGCGGTTTGTTTACGTGACAAACCTCACTTAATTGGCTGTGTCGGGTGGTGGCGGTGTTTAACGAGGAAATAAAGTTTTGTTATTTTACGCGATCTAGCCCCCAAATAAAAACAACAATAATCTTAAACATTTTTAATTTAAAGCTTTCGTGACTACAGGGATTCATATTCTTGGTTCTTTCGGTAAAGTCACGTAGAAGGGAAATAATATATTTATATTTTTGTATTATTTCCCTTCTGCGTGGCTTTACCGAGAGAACCAAGAACAACAATAACCTTTGTTATGCAAATGATCTCCCACCGCCACGAGAAACCCAAGAACCCGATAATTTATTCCCTCAATAGCCCCGCCCACAGAGGGGAGGGGCGAGGGGAGGGAGGGGCGAGAGGGGGCGCACGGGGATGATGGGGGGGGGGCGGTCTTGTCCAATGGCGTTGCGACATTTTGCCGACGTCAGCGATCGCCCGCCCACCGCGCGATCCCATTGGCTGACGCACTCGCGCCAAATCTGCGTCACGCGTGTTGGCGGGAAATTGCGATCTGAGCAGAGCGCGGGCAAAACAGCAACAGAAGCAGCAGCAGCAGCCCCGGGTCGTCACCTCCTGCTCATTCATTCACTCGCTCTACACTCTACAGCCTCACAACACCGGTATCCACCACCTTGCCCGGTACGTGCCTCGGCGTGGAGACGGTAGCGGTATGTTCTGTTTGTTGTTCGTGTTATTTGCTGAAGTAAGATAATCGCGGAGGTAACGTCCGAAGCGGGGTTAGTGATTTGGCGCGCACTGTACCGAGCACGCTTCTCGTTAACAACAAGGCGGCGTTGCGGATTAAAAAAACTGACCGCGTTGTTGACTAAAACTCTAACGAGACGTTGTTAGTGTACGCTGTGTGTGCTTAGTTTGTGCGCACAATGCTTACCTCAGGATTAGTTACAGTGACTGAATTAAGGCCAGAGGCGCTGCGCCATCGACCACGCGGCCTAGGTTCGAACCGAATCCCGGTTATGGCTTAAACGTCGGTGTCGGTGCGTGAATAGTCTTTGAATCGACGAAGAGGCCCTTCTTTTATCCATCAGTGCGTGTTTGAGATAGCTGTCTTAGATTTTTTACCATTAAAACACTCCTGTATGAGCACAATGAGAGTCGGTCGTGTACAACGGTATTCCACGTACGCAAATGTTACCCGTAATAACTAACTTTACTGTACGGTGTATGAGAGAGAATGTTAGTGCTAGATTGTGCTGTGTTGGTGTGTTAATAAGAGCTGATTGTGCTGTGTTCGTGTGTTAATATAAGAGCTGAGCTTGTGGCCGGGGGATGTAGAATTGTCGATTGTTGATTTCGCGCCTAAACCCATCGACGGTCCGTGCCGCGCCACCGATTCGCGCTTTCACGAACGGTTGAGGTCTCTAGGCGCCAAAGAACCCTGGCTTTCTAAACCTTCACTTATCTTTACGACATCATCAGTTATTGAGTCGGCTAGTACGGTTTTGAGGTTGAGGGAAAAGTCGCTTACCACCAACATCGAGGGTGCGTACACCAACATCGAGTTAGGATGCAGTACAGTACCGTACTTACATCGCGTGAAGTTGTGCCTGTTAACAGCAAGCGAATCTGCAAAGTAATTTTCACTCTAAATACCAATCGGATGATACTAATATCTTAGTAATTTGTGTTGTGATTTACAGCTTTTGGTAAAGAATTGTTTTCACCTTTGTTTTACAGAATATAATTATGTCAAAACCAGTTGAATGTTCCTCATCAGTCGATGCTGTCTGTCTGTGTGTGTGGTTTTAATTGCTGTGCTAATGTCACCTCGTGCTTTAGTATCCACAGCAGTTTTCATTTCTCACCGTATTTAAACATACACAGCGTATGGGGCCTCACTGCCCCGTGGAAACGAAAACACACTCAAGTGGAAACCTCTCCTTCGCCTGGACTTTTGTAGCCTTTGTGTGAGTTGTGAATGTCCGTTAGTGCCACTTTAGCGACTAGCCTTCATGGCCATGAAAAAATACCGGTGGATGAAGGCCCTGCCCCGTGTAATGTCACTCACGATGGCAGGATCGGTTCTGATATCACTAATGTCAGCCGTGGCCGGTGCTCCAAAGCTGTCGTATGGGGGAAATTAGAATTATCCTCAACTCGCCCACTGCTTAAGAGTAGCACTGTGTGACCTTGTTTTGTACGATTATGCCATTACCTTGCTGATTTTAGTTTCAACCCGGTTAGAATGTTGGCGATGGAAGACCCTGCATTCAAAATATCAAGTAAGAATTTGTAGGTAAATTTAATGAGTTTTGTAGAATATGATTAATGAGTTTTGTAGAATATGATGAGGATTCAGGATGCCACTTTGTGTCCGTATTGCCATGATTTCCCAAGTTGTATAATACACTTGAATATCTTAGTTCCTTAAATATGCAAGTGCTTTGTACACGAGCTATTGCTGACAAGCTTGGGCTTGTAGGTGGGAACCAAGTATGATTAGGTCATTGTTTAGTCCCGGAAGCGTATACCAGTTGAATGTTTCTTACCCTCGTCAACAAAAAAAATCAGTCAAGTTGCTGCGATGCCGTGGATCAATATTATTTTCGTAACGATACAAGCATAGCACCCAATTGTTCGTTGTTTGTCTCGTACTGATGTTTATCCAGGTAAACAAACTAAGTAAAACTATAAACTATTCATATTTATCTTTGTTCTTTCGGTAAAGTCACGTAGAAGGGAAATAATAAAAATAAAACATAATAAAATACAATTCTCACAACGTTTCGGCCACAACGCAAGCAGCCTTCCTCAGGTGAAGAACAGGTCTGTCAGAAAGACAGCGTCTGAATGCTTTCCGACAGACCTGTTCTTCACCTGAGGACGGCTGCTTGCGTTGTGGTGGAAACGTCGTGAGAATTGTATTTTATTATGTTTTATTTTTATTATTTCCCTTCTACGTGATTTTACCGAAAGAACCAAGAAGATGAATCCCTGCAGTCACGAAAGCTTTAAATCGAAATTTATTCATATTTAAAAAACTATGCTTTATTTTACCAAGGAAGCCCCATTGAGATGTATAGCTGTTGTTCAAAAGCGACCTTGCCACAAATGATAGCTGAACAAAGTGGCTTATCACGTGAAAATGGATATCAGCCAAATACTCTAAATGCATGTTTCTAAATGTGGAGGTAAAAACCGAAGGACCCGGACAAAAATCCACATGACCACAAACTCCAAATATACAGCAGCAGGCGTCAGGGTTGGGATCGAACCCACGACCTCCTGCATACCAGGCGAGGTAGTTAACATCTCTCCACCGTGGCACCCCAACGGTACTGTGAAACATTTCTCACCATCCGCTGTCACCGCGTGTCCGTGCAGACACGTCAGCCATGGCCGAGTGCTCCCTGGTGCAGACGGCAATCGCGTTTCCGCGCCGCAAGACGCGCTCATCGGCGCGGAAGGACAAGCTCGAGGTGACCCCACGCAGTGGAAACAGGGGGAGGAACGGCACTACGGGGCTCAGCCAGCCACTCTCACCCCGCAAGCGCCTCGGTAAGGAAAGGTTGGGTTACAGCCACAAGCGATTGTGAATCTTGATTAGTTGGTGTACAGAGGGGGGATGGCCGCTGTAGTGTACAGCATTCCCTTCGTTATTCGCGAGGGATATGTTCCGGTAATGCCCGCGAAGAGGAAATTTCGAGGATAATGATAAATATGTAAATGAGCTGTCAAATATGTGAAAAATGTTAATTAAACATCTCTTTATCTCCTCACTTTATACCTCATCACTTTATCTCTCTCAGGGCAGTCGTGTAAAAGTTACACATGCCATTCGCTAGTATAGCACGTTAATGAATGACGAGGGAATACCGTACACAGGGGGATATTCGCTGCATATATCTCTTTTATTTTCATGCAAATGCTCATTGCATTCTAAAATGTGTGTGTTCTGTCTGCATTGTTTCGTTCACTTGCCTCGCAACACTAATTACAGTACCGCCAATTGTAATTAACCACTTAGTGCGTTCAAGCTTTGGTGGCGGCTTAGCTGAAAGCATTGTAATTCTTTTTGTAATTTTACATCCGGAATGCACGATCGTGTGTGGTCGTTGTATAATCTCAGTGTTGAAATTGACAACCATTGACCCCCTCACAGCAGAGCGATCTCAGAACGTTTCTAATATTAATCAATCCTCAATTGGGAGTTTAATTCGCAGCTCGAACGTAGTGTTAATTTGTTCAAAAAAAACAACTGGCCTGGACGCAGACTGAGATAAGTTATGTGAGAGATGGCAGTGAATGAGGAACTCCAAGTATGGTAATTGGCTATTTATGTACACAAGCAATATTGACTGAGTCCACTGATTTCCCTGATAACAACTGGGTGGGAAATATTGCTGACGCGCCCCTCGCGCCAACAATTACGTAAAAATATGCTGACCAAAGTACCACGATTCTAACCATAGCACTCTGACCGCAGTGCCTCTCAGCTGACTACAAGAAACACAACTGTGTTGTGTAGGCTACATTAATTTAAACAACGAGTACACCGAGAACCCGCATGTACGTGCGATAACACTCCTAATTCAGGGCAAACGGCCTACTTGCTGTGCTGCATTCGGTGCTTCCCTAAATAGATAGAAGGTACCTGATAATTTTGTCATCAAGCTTCAAGTCGCGTAACTCCACATTGACGACTCCACGTTGATGGCCGGTCCCGCCCCGCAGGAGAGGAGAACACCCTCAATGTGCCGCACCTGCTGGAATGCTCGCCCACCAAGAGACAGAAGGAGAATGCCGCCGTGGCGGTGACGGCGGCGGCGGCACTCAAGTCGCCGGTGCTGACCACGCGCAAGAAGCTGCAGTTCGAGGATGCTCCACCCAACCCCCTCCGCGTCATCTCGCCGATCGAGAAGCAGCAGGGCGCACGCCGCCTTGGAGAGGGGGCCACTGCGCCGAAGAGCGACGCCGCCCGGGAGAGAGCCACCGCCTCGTCGGAAAGGACACCCACGACGCCGGCCGTCCTGCGGGTCGTGCGACAAGAAGGTGTGTGTGTGTTTCGATTTAAAGCTTTCGTGACTGCAGGGATTCATCTTCTTGGTTCTTTCGGTAAAGTCACGTAGAATTGAAATAATAAAATAATAAAAATAAAACATAATAAAATAATTCTCACGACGTTTCAGCCACAACGCAAGTAGCCGTCCTCAGGTGGAGAACAGGTCTGTCGAGGAGAATCTGTCTCGTTGACGACTCCTCGACAGACCTGTTCTCCACCTGAGGACAGCTACTTGCATTCTGGCCGAAACGTCGTGAGAATAATTTTATTATGTTTTTTTGTTATTATTTTATTATTTCAATTCTACGTGACTTTACTGAAGGAACCAAGAAGACGAACCACTGATGTCAAGTAAGGACGGGTTCAGAAAGTTACAACAACAAACGGTACAAAAAAACTACACGATTGATGAATTCCACCAAGCCGCAAAAAAATGGGGGAATAATCAGAAGGGCGTTTTGCGGTTTACGACGAGCATGGTTGCCTACATATATACAGGCAGCCGTGGAAAAATAGGGGCACGGATAAAGTATTTCCGCAGACGCGCGGAATAACGCGATGGCTGCTGCGCGGCACTTGTGACGTGCGCAGGGGAGTGCTATGCGCTCGCCAAGAAGGCTCTGCACACGGCCAACCCGGAGCGGCTGCTGTGTCGCGAGCGGGAGACCGCGGCCATCGTCGCGTTTGTGGAGGAGCACGTGGTGGCGCGGGTGCCCGGCAGCCTCTACATCTCGGGCGCGCCGGGCACCGGCAAGACGGCCTGCCTCAAGCACATCCTGCACAGCATGAAGGTCAGCTGCCCGTCGCCCGACTGTCCGTTTCGCGAAGCATACAAGCACGTTCTTTGGCGTCAGTCCGTTGCTGGATTGCCCGTGCGGGTCATTGACCGAAGGTTGTTGGGTTTTTTTTTTTTTAAACCAGGTAAGGCCCACTGAGCTATGCTAATTTATAGCTCTTTTTCAGCGAAGTGGCTTATGTGGAAATTTAAAGCAGCCAAATACTCTCAACGCATGTTTCTAATTGTGGAGGGAAAAACCGGAGCACACGGAGAAAAATCCACGCGACCACGGAGAGTAAGAGACATGCAAACTCCAAAAATATATCGGCGTCAGTTTTGGGATCGAACCCACAACCTCCTCCATACCAGGCAAGGGCGTTTACATATCACCACCACGCAGGTCGGTGTTGTTCAGTTAGAGCGGAGAGCGAAGATGTTGGATCATAGAAGTGCAGTGCAATAATGGATTTTGAAGCACTGCCCACTATGTAACACCACAGCCTGTATCAGCTGTTGTTCACGATGGTTGCTCGTTCAAGCAGTGTCCAGGCCTCGGCCCAGCTTCGTTTCTGATATCTGATGAGATCGGGCAGATTCTTGGTTTTTTTGGCCATAGGTATAAATCTTCACGTGGCACACAGCCAGAGCTGTATAAGTAACAACTCTTTATCAGAAGGGTCCTGCAAAGTTTTTGCAGTCGGAGGGGGCGGGGGTCGACTGATTGCTCTGTATATTCCAATTGAGCAATTTGCATGTAATTAGGCAAATTTGGATGGTTGGCATGCAATGGCCTGCTCGTGCGAATGATGTCTCCGAAGTGGTGACTTGCTTCGTTAAAAGTTTGTTGATGACGGTGGCAGCCTCCCTGAGCTACAGCACCCCCTGGCTGCAGAGTAATGTAGATTATTAGTAAAAAAAAATTCTGGGCTTTGGATTAACAACCGTAGATCACACTTAGTGCCTGAGCCAAACCCAGCATCCATACAATATGTGACGAACTTAATTCGTCTGTCCATCTGTTGCAGCATTTCCTCGAAAGTTTTCCTTGAGTCTGGTCTGGAGAGCTCATACTGGGACGTTGTACGGACCTTCGACTCTGGTCGACGTTTCTTTTGACCAGTTCCTAATTGCTCTGCATGGTACAATGATTTCTGGACATAGCCTGCTTATAACACTTTATGTAGTAACACTGCCTTGTAGACCTACTTCAGAATCAAAATATCTATACTGAAGGAATCCAATGAGATGTGAAGTTTTTTTGTTATAGATGCCCAGTTGGGGGGGGAGGGGGTGTTCGAAACGTTACAGCAACAAACAATACAAAAACACGGTAGGAGTGCAAAGCAAAGGCAAATAAATCACGCAAAATTTGTATTTTTTTTACCAGGTAAAGCCCACTTGAGCTATTAGCTTTTTCCAGAAGTGACTTGGCCACAAATGATGGCTCGGCAAAGTGGCTTATCGTGTGGAAATTTATAGCCGCTAAATAATCCAAACGCACGTTTCTTTGAGCATTATAATATAACAACTGTGCTGTCGTCTCCAGCAGGCATTGTCATGGCACCACCGGTTATTGTCTTTGGCGTGTGTGACCTTGTGTGATGCCCAGCCCTGTCTGCAGAATGATTGATTACAGATATCCTAATTGTTACAGATTTCCTAATAGCCCTGATGGGATCTATTGGACAGAGCGTTGTTGTTGACGATCGCCTAATTCAGTAATCCCAGTAGTGCAGTGGTGTCTTCCCCAATGCTGCTGCTGTTATTTTTACATAATGGGTAAGACATTTTTTTTTCAGCAGTGCTGTGTATGGATAGTAAACTTGGCACACGTCTGTATTGTGTTTGGCAAGAACAGTTTAATCACGCTCTTTGAGCACGGATTTGCACAGTGGCAGATTTACTCAACATTAAAAAACGAATTCCCACGGGCACCGATGTAAAACATCGAGTTCTAAGCAATTCAGACCAATGTGAGTCACGGTTGTTTTGACACCCAACATGGAGCTCCATTGAATGTCTGATTAGCTCGTATATTACGTACATTTCGTGTGCATACACGCCAGAGAGTGTATTTCAATCTATATCTTCACAAGCATGCTCGCACTGCAGGCGCGTCACTTTGTTCGCTGAAATTGTTAAATATGTCGTAATGGATTTTAGGAATGGTGAGGCTGGGGATTGACGTGTTGGTTGCTCGGTGGGAGGCAGTTTTGTTTGGGAAAACTCATTCGGTGCCCCGGCTGAGGACAATGTCACGCGAGGGCTGTTGTCTTTACGCCGAAACGTGATGTGGTGTGTTTTTTGTAGAGACGTGTTCTTGTTTGAACCTGGTGACCTGGCAAGCGTGTGACCACAAGGAGGCTAGGTTGACTCTTTGAGCATGAGAATATTTCAGGAGGCTAGGTTGATGCTTTCAGCATTATAATATTTATTTTAGAGGTTAACCAATTCGGCGAGATACACAGGTACTATTATGTGTAATGTACATGCAATGCAAGAGAGAGATGGGAGCGGTGCTGCAGCGGTTAGCACATTGCGCTATGAACTCTGCAAGCCAAGTTTGATTCCTGACCACGGCAAACATCAATGGCAAGTACTGTCTAAATCAGCCCCCGCACCCCTTCACGAACGCGCACTGAAAAGCGTGTAATTATTTCTTAGTAAGGGAGGCCCTCATCCTGCAGTGGATTGACAAATGGCTGAACATTTTTATTCCATGATAAAATAACAAGGCATTTGTTTAGCGTCTGCTGCTCAAATTGCCCAATGAGGTGACCCTGAGCGAGTGCTGGATATTCTGGAAATTCTACATTTCTTGTCACTTGACAAGAAATTTGCGTTTTCCAGAGGTACGATGTGCTCCCCGTGAACACGAGTGCACAGGCCGGCAAACAAAATCACAAGAGGGGCAATTTATTTTTCAAATTCTTTGTTTGTATGTTTATATTTAAAAAGACCTTTCAACAGCCGCAATGCAATAATGTGAATACGAGATGGTGGTCCTTTATAAATAACGTGACGAAGCAAACCTTAAAGAGCCGCAGGTTTTCCGACTGCTGCCCATGGTAAACCGGACTCCCGTGGTAAACCGGACACGCATGGTAAACTGAACGCCCATGATCAGGGGTTGGCAACCAAAATAACATTGGAAGAGACATATTTTTCGAATTCGGTACAAAGCTCAATTTTTCAAGAGCTGCACTGCAGTCATTTTAAGCGCTGCTCCGAAGCCGCAGGCTGCCAACCCCTGCCCTCCACCCCTGCCCTAGTGGGATTGGGGCTTCTCCACCGTCCTACGGTGAGAGTCGGCACTCCGACCACAGCACCGCCTCGCTTGGCGGTGTGGGATTTGTTTGCAGACAAGGTCAAGTAATGTACAATAAATATTCCCTTTTCGGTATCGATTCAAGTAAAGGCTACTGAGATGAGCAATGATTACAACACGTGCCCTTTCAATTGTAAGTCATGTGCTCTGCAGCAGCAGCACTTCCCAGTCAACAAAGTACATTGTCGTAATACGACTGAAATACAGGAATAAATGTGATGGAGCCCCGTACTCCTGATCAGCACGGTGGGTTACTTACGGTGCGAAAGAAATTCAACATACATACTGACCAGATGCAAAGCAAGCAATGACACGGTCCACACGAACATACGAAGTAAAGATTGGTAGAGGGGGAATAAGGATAATGTTTCTGTTTTATTCGATTTGGCATTAAATGGTGTTAATGTGCAAGCACGCCACCTAATCCTCATATCTGTCTCGTGTGTTTCCTGTGCAGACGATGCTGAGCAGTGCAAGGGTCGTCTTCCTAAACTGCATGCCGCTGACCTCGTCGCAAGCCGTGTACCCGGCTGTCCTGTCAAAGCTCGGAGAGGCCGGGGAGAAGACCTCCGGGGTTGGCAGCAGAGACCATGCAAGGCAGCTGGAGAGAATTGTCACCAAATCGGGGCCCATGATGTAAGGAAAACGCCGCACCTCATCAAACGAGGTCTTATAAACCAGTGTTCTTCACTAATTTTCAGAGGGGGAGGGGCTACTTTTGTTAATAAAACGTCATCGGTGTGAGGCGCCACACATTTTAAACAATTGGGTTTGACAGCACGATGGGGTGTTTGTACATTTGTGTATTGTCGGGGGCGGCACGAAAGGCCTCCGGGGGCCGCCAGTGGCCTGTGGGCCTTGCAATGACGAACACTGCTCTAACCAATCGAGACGCCATCACTGTCTAAAGATGTCTATGCAACTTCATGTTGCGGTGTTAGGTTTTTGTTTTTGAGTCAAACATCTGATCTCCCAGGTAACTCTCATCGGTTGTTTTCCTCCCACCCGTGGGAATCGAGAAGCCCAGCAGATTGGTTCCCGCAACAAATGATGAAATCTGCACGATCCACCACAACCCTCCTTACCAAAGTTCCTGGGATAACGGGCGTGCCCAACCATGCCAATGTCTGCCCTTAATCCTAGAGAGGCTTTTCAATACCCTTCTTTTCATGATGCCTGATTTGTTCATCAACATGAGCGCACCGTTTTATCATTAGTGACTTGGGGGGACTGCATGTTGTGACCAATCTGCCAAGGTTGGAACTGAGTGCGGGAATTCGATGGCTTGTCGCACAACGGCGAGAATCTACCAGCGTTCGCCCAGAGCAGCAAACGACAAACTAATGATCCTCTTAATGATTATACAATCATGGGAATCCGCGCTCTCGTTTTCTCACTCTTCGTTTCATTTTTTTAATTGCGCATCCAAATGCCATTAAAGCGCGAGCAGAGAGAGATATGTATATCGAGTTAAATGTAATGTACATTAATCCTGACCTTAAAAAATTGCGCTGTGTACGCATCGGCAGTGGATAGATGGATTACCCGGGGTGGTACTGGGTACATAACGCTCTTACGGTCTGGCATTAAGAGGTGACCAATAAAAACTCTGGCTCCTATACTCAGCCTATGAGCCTAAACGAGGGTTTCCCGGGTGTGTGTGTGTGCAGTGGAGGGAGCAATCGCGTAGTGGTTAGCGCGTTACACTAAACCCGTTGACCTGATTTCGATTCCCGATCACAGCCAACATCGGTGACGAATATCAGAATTGGTCCTGGGCCTCCGCTAGGCCAAGTCGGCTTTAAATGAGTACCTGGTGTGTAGTGTTGTAAACAGCAGCATTGGGGAGACAAAGGTGGCCAGGAGTGGTGCTGGCCCTTGTATGTATCTTGGACTTCTTTCGCACCACACGTAGCCAACTGGCAAATCGGACGTGCGTGGGAAGGACAAACCAAACTCGAAAAGCAATTCTGAACAAATTAGTTTTCAATCTAGCTGATTTAAAAGTGCATATCTCCAGTGGCGTCCTAATATCAGAAGGAAGGGCGTTCCAGACGGCCACAGAAGCTCATTTGAAAGCGCCCGAGCGAAGCAGTGACCCTCTTAGTTCGATAGCCAGCCAGAAGCCGCTGTGAGGATCACCGGAGTTCACGTGATGGTTTTTGCTCCTTGACGAGATGAGCAAGGTGCCGTGCCGGTCCTAATAGGTGCTTGCTATAACAATACTCGCCCTACCGTTATTAGAAAGGATTTATAGAGGGGGATGTTTTTTGTTGTCTTGGTTTACGTGTGTGCAGTGTGTTGGTTTTGGACGAGATGGACCAGTTGGACAGCCGTGCACAGGAGGTGCTCTACACCATGTTCGAGTGGCCAGCTCTTCCCAACTCTCGCCTCGTACTCATCGGTAATTACTGCCGCCCCCCCACCAATACAGCACACACGTTGCTGGACGACGGTGAGAGGCGGAAGGAACAACAAAGCAAATAATGAACGCCATTTGCGGGGAAGAAAAAACAATTTCATATTCCCAGGTTTTTTCGGTAAAGTCACGTAGGTAAAACATTAAAATTAATAAAAGTAAAATAAAAATCACGACGTTTCGGAGGCAACACAAGCCTCCGTCTTCAGGTGGAACCGTCACAGCCACGACAGCTGTATTAATGTTTTACCTACGTGACTTTACCGAAAAAACCTGGGAATATGAATCCTTGCAGTCACGAAAGCTTCAAATCTAGAAAAAAAAAAACTATTTCCCACTTAAAACGCTCCATGAGGTCAGTGGCAAATGATTGAAAAACTCAAAAGTTTTAAATTAACATAATCCCCACCACCGCGTCTTTCAACTCAAAGTAGGAGACCCGTGTTCTCTCACATTGCGTGCATTTACCGTTCACAATTTGCATTTCATTGCGCAACGCTAAATTTACGAGCGTCCATCGCTCCTACTCCACAATTTTTTCATCAAGCAGGATTCCGTCCCAGTTAAGACGCAGGAATTCCCATCGAAAGGAATGAGGGGGCGGAGGCATTCTTTTGACGCTCTGAGAGAATCGCGAACAGAATCTCCATGCAAACGATATTCCGTTGGCAATTCCAACAGTATTTGGGTCATTCGGTAAAGCCATGTAGATCGCGTGAGAGCTACTGAGGCAGGAACAAATATCTTTTTTCCTGCCTTAGTAGCTCTCTCGCAATATTTTTCACCTGATGACGATTGCTTGTGTTGCGATCGAAATGTCGTGATATTTTTTAAATTATTTTTCTATCTACGTGGCTTTACCGAAAGACCCAAATAATATGAATTCTTGCAGTCACGAAAGCTTTAAGTCAAAATTCCAACAGTCGCCACTAGGTGGCACAATGACCCTGATAGGATTTACATTGCAATTAATGGGTATTTACTCCTGATTCCTGTAAGAATTGGACGTCGTGGAATCGTGGGATTCAAATTCAATTCATGCAGGAGTCATCCAGTGTCAGTGTAATGCTTTTTATTTTATATTTTTCGAGGAAGGATTGAAATAATATCACTGGATACTTTCAAGGCTCCGAGGGCTCAAGCACATTTATTATTTTTCTAGATCTGCTGCGTTGCAAACCTGGTGGCCTGGTTTTGACTAAGGGGCAAGCAGTATCCAAACCGATTCTGGGCCTCCTTGATGTTGGCTCGGGCCTAAAATGAGTACCCGATGTTGTGTTCGACTATCAGCACTGGTAAGACAAAAGGTGGTGAGATGTGATGCCTGACCGTCCCCCCCTTTGGTGTTCTTGCTTTAATAGGTGCTCACTAACGGAACGTTTCCCAATAATCTGTGGCTATATTGCCATGTCTACGGGCACACGCACACACGCCAGAGTGGTAGTGTAACACACGGGACTGCAGTCCTTGTCAGGAACGGCACAAGATGTTAGGCAGAATGTGAACTTCGGACCTTGTGACTCACCGAGGTCAACACGGCCTAAAATTAGTGGCTGGTGTAATCTGAGAACATGGGACAACTCTGGGGAAGCCAGTGCTCACCATACCACCCCTCGGGGCTCGTACCAGCCTGAATAGCTGATCACTAGCAGTGCTTGACCCTGCTGTCTTTTGTCCGTCCCTTAGGGGTGGCAAACGCGCTGGACCTGACGGACCGCATCCTGCCGCGGCTGCAAGCTCTCCGAAGCCACCAGCCGCATCTTGTCAACTTCCCTCCATATTCCCGCGATCAGATCCTGGCCATTCTGCAGGACCGGCTATCGGGGGTAAGCACGTGGTATCCGCCATATAAGGCTCGATTTTCTCCGGGAATTGTAGTTTGCTCTCTCTCTTGTGTAAAAATACTCGGGAAGATAATGGCGAAGCAATCTAAATCAGGGCAGTTTAACACGTAGGCTTTCGCGACCAATATTATTCATAATAAACGGTTTTGGGTGAGATCGCGTTATTTATAAATGTGTCGTAACCCTCCACCACCCGACACGGCCAATCAGCAAAGAAAGTGTCATGTTGACAAAAGACAAATAGTTCACTTCTTTAGCCCACCGGTGTGTTGAAGAGTGAATCCACAACATTTACAGTTTTTGAGTAAGACGTTACGCTGGTAAATGCATCCAGCATCATCGGGCAATTCGCCAGAATGGCCAGTGGCCGGCGTGAGTAGGTTTAACGTTGAGTTTTTTAAGGGCAACACGGGGTGACCAGCCCCTCTCCACCCAGCCCCCCCACCCCTCCCAGCCCCATCCTCCCCACCCAGCCCCTTCCCACCCTCCCCTCCCCACCCAGCCCCTCCCCACCCAGCCCCTCCCCACCCAGCCCCACCCCTCCCATTTTTGGATGCACAACGGATGGACGGACAGAATAATCCCAAGTGGGCTGGTGTAACCAGGAGGTTCCTACCAGTACCATGTTAACTTGTAACGCACCGCACAGCACTCGCTCGCTCTCGTAGAGAGAGAACGACTCGGAGCCACAGGCAAGCAGGAAGGCAGCCACGCGGTGAGCCGCTGCCAACAATGTCCCAAGCTCTGCTGCACTCCATATATATATAGAGGTGTTGTCGGCCAATTAATGAACTCGATTAGACTCAACTGCAAGTCGATGCAGCAACGATTACTACTGCCACGCTCGGCCAACACCCGATATATGTATGTATGTATGCATGTTGAACTTATTTTGTACCATACGGGGGTGCGATTATTATATAATAATAATTAACCCACTTTGCCAACACAAGCAGCAGCCCACAATGCATGGATCCCCCAACTGTGTACCTTGCGCCAAGAGTCTCCACCACCTACACATAGCCACCCCACATAAGCGGATAATGCGCAAGCTGTTATCAATCTGCCTAGGTCACTCACAAGGGGATGAATTTTGGCAAAGCCTGCTGGAGGTGTGAAGGATTGGTGCAGCAAGTGACTTGGATGTATTGCCAAGACGTTTTCATTTAATGATGCGTTGTAAGCAATTTCCATCTGAATAAATGGCTGTCGTGCTGAAAGTTCTGAATCGGTTGCTGCGGCCGCTAAATGAATGGCATTTAGTTTCCAAGACACGGCCAGCCTGGGATGACAATTGTTGCTACTCTGTGTGCTAAGGAGCGTGGTTATCTCGTTATAGAATTCCATTTGCCACTGTTGATGTATTTGTATAATGCAAATGTGTGATTTAATTATTGGTATAATGGTTAGAATCTGTGGGAGAGTGGCCTGTTTTTATTCATGATGATTATAAATTTTATCTTGCGTCATTCATGCTAATTGCATCATACAGAACCGTACATTATATATAGGACCAACCCCAAACAAAACCTATACACTGCTCCTCCCAAGCTATTTATGAAGTACCTATTTAAAATAATGTTGAAATGACTATTCCATTACGCGAGAACATTTTCTTGAACATCGTACTCAAGAAAACGACAGTAAGACCACGGCGTCGTCTGCACACCCTGCCGAGAAGGCGAGCGTTGCATCACAACGCATCGCACACTCACGTTTACGTGTGTGTGTGTGTGTTGAACTTCTTTCGCACCGTACGTAGCCAACCGTGCTAATCGGAGGTGCGGAAAATGCATCAACAAAGCAAACCACTGTCAAATAACTTCCTCGGAGTTTACCTTTTTGGATAACAGTTATAAATGTTTGCGATGCGATTCCTGAACGTTAGAGAATGCATATGCAGAATTGTGAATCGTGTTTGCTGTTTAAATTTGGCATTTCGTGTTCCCGGCTGCATTTCGGATTTGTGTGTTCCCTCCGATAGGACTTCTTAAACAGGCACACACACGCGCGTATAAATACGTGTGCACGTATTGATGATGGTCCTTTGATTATCGTGGTTAGCTGCTGCTGCTGTTCACTAACGGCGCTGCCGTTTCCCCTCTGTGCTGCAGCTGAAGGAGGGTGTGGTGGACCCGGCCGCTGTGCAGTTCTGCGCCAGGAAGGTGTCAGCCATGTCTGGGGATGCCCGCAAGGCGCTCGATGTCTGCAGGTAACTGCGCCCAAGTTCATGCACGTGGAGAGCGGTGGCGCAGTGATTATCTCGCCACGCCACGAACCTGCCGAACCGTTTGGTTTTCTTCTGACTGCCCACCTCTTCTGCTTGAACGGTGTGTGGTGGCCAGGAGATGGCAGAATGTTCTCAGAACAGTAGCATGTCTTGCACGTGGAGAGGTTAACGGCTTGGAGGGGGTGGGGGGGGGACTGCCTTTCATCCAGCAGTAACTTGACCACGGTTGGATGGGTTGTGTGAAGCACTCAAGATTTCCGTCCATCCCTTCAATGTTTGAATTGCACTTTTGACTCCCTCTTCCTTGTTTGTTCACTTCGACGATCTCCTCCCCCGTTCACCGAGCGTTGTTATTTCTCGCGGCAGGCGAGCTGTGGAAAAACTTGGAGGCGAAATCAGGAAGCAAACGGTGCTGAGCCCCAATGGAGAAGGTGAGGGAGGGAGGCAAGAACGCCCAGTCTCTGTTCGGAATATTAAGAAGGCCCTACAGTGCAGAGTGCAGTGGCACAATCATAATAATTGACGTTGTTTTATATTCTTCCTCTTCTCACTGAATGCATTTAATGTCTCGTGATGTATTCCTGTGGGGGGGATGGGGGGGGGTTGCCGAGTGATTTCAATATCTACCATTGTCCCCCCCCCCCCCCCATCTGTCAGAGTAAATTTCGTGTCTCGGGTAAATATTATATTTAGGTTGAAGGTAATGACATATTTCGGCTATAACATTCGAACATAGTGGGCATGTGCCCTTAATTATAATATCGCTGGCTAATTAACATGTTAACAACAGGAGGTAGCCAGGTGTTTCTTCGGGGCTAATGCCTTGAGAACGCTGAGCCATCTCTGCCGAGATCATGGGTTCAAATCCGGGCAGTCACCGCAGATTAAACCAGCGTCTTAGGCAAAGCAAGTTGATTCTCTCAGCCTGGACACCAGCAATTGCCCAAAAGTCACGGCGTTTGGTGTTTCACTTAATTTGGCACAGTCGAGCATGGAGAACTACATTTCATAGTTGTATTAGCCTGTGATGATCACTCCTCTGAAGGGCCATGTAAGGTTGTAACAACCGATGAGGATGAGAGGCTTTATTAAGCTATAATATGTGGCTGGGTCGTTTCTGAATAAAAGCTAATGTCTCAGTGGGCCTTAACTGGTATGAAAAAAAAATTGCTTTATTTTATTTGTATGTTTTAAGCGATGTGTTTACCTTTCCTATACTTTGCACTCCTCTCGTGTTTTTGTATTGTTTGTTGTTGAAGTTGTGACCTGCCCCTACTGGACATATATAAAAAGAGCTTTATAGCTCTTCTGATTCCACCAGTATAAATAAATATTCTGATTGTGAAATGCCTTCGTAAAAATGTGTTGGAAATCTTAAAATGATTGCTGCTTGGCGATTGCAATTAAAAACTTGGGGGGGCGGGGCTTAGATTTGTATCAGTACGCCGTCCACCTGTGTGTGTTTGGTAGCTGATTCTCATGACCCTCCACGGTTCCTTTGTGCGAGTACAGGCCCTGCGCTCACGACGACGGTGCCCCGCAGGGTGACCCTCCCGCAGATCTCCGCCGTGCTCTCGGAGGTCTACGGGAGCCCCATGGCGTCACGCGCCGGGGACCATGGCGGCAGCTTTCCCCTGCAGCAGAAGCTGCTCGTCATCACGCTGCTGATGCTGGTGCGCAGTGGCAAGGTCAGGGAGTTCACCTTTGGCAAGGTGAGCCGGTGACCTGGTAGATGTTTGGCCTGTGAGCTGGGGTGCCGTGGGTGGCCTTGTACCTTGGGTGGGTGGGAGGCCCGGACCCTGGGGTGGATGGTCTGGTGGGTGGGTGGCTTGGTACCTGGGAGGGCGACCTGGCTCGTGGTTAAATAAAAATGCCAGGGTCGGCCAAAACAAGGCCATAAAATTTGGGGTAAATAAAATTCTTAATCGTAGATAAATGTGCTTTTATTGACTGCTTACATTCTTGTTAACCTTTGAAACTTCATTATATTGCCACTTACCATAAATAATAATAATAAAATATATGAATACTTAGTGCCCTGGCAAATTGTGGGTGATAAATAATTGAAGGGGTTTGTTTGATTTAAAACATTTAAAACATATATATGTAAAACATTTAATCAATTGACCGATGTGGATTTTGAACCCATGTATTCATTGTGAACAAAGACGACTGGGATACGTATATCTCTGAGGCCCATTAGTTGCAGGAATGAATTATTCATTTCCATGAAAAAAATTACATTTTTTATTTATATAGGTGTGTGTGCATGTATGCAAGACATCGCAGACCATTAGCAAACCTGGAACTGATGGGCTAGCTTTGTTTTTTTGTTGATGTAAAGCTAAATTTCAAGGGTCCGTTAAAATGACAACTTGTTTCTCCCTGCTTCAGACAATAATCGAGGAGCTGCCACTGCAGATGAGAACCGCCCCCAGTTCCGTAAAATAATAGCGTAATGGGATTAGACAAAAGTGACGATGATTCAATGTGGTTGTCGATGATGTTGATTTGCAGCTATTCGGCTACTTTTTATGTTACCAGGTAAGGGTCACTGAGCTATGTAGCATTTTTTCACACGCGACCTGACCACAAATGATAGCTCAACGAAGTGGCTTATCGCGTGGTAATTTTTAGCAGCCAAATACACGAAACGTATGTTTGTAAATGTGGAGGGAAACACCAGAGAACTCTGAGAAAAATCCACGTGACCACAGTCAGAACATACCAATTCGAAATATACAGGCGGCCGGGTTGAGATCGAACCCACGACCTCCTGTAAACGAGGCGAGGTAGTTAACATCTCGCCACCGTGGTGTGATAGGCTTTGTTTGAAGGCCCAATCTTTGGCACTCATTGTAGAATCAGTCATTTGGGTGAAAATATTGAAAGTTTTTAAAATTTAGTTGGAGACTGCGCATATATATATTCTTAATGGTAGAATTGCATCCCTGCTGGGACATCCTGCCAAACGTGAGATGTCATGAGCACATTTCCTGGCAGCTGCAGAGTACCCCATTTACAACGCTAATTGGCAACACCTGCCAACTCTCGATCCGCTTCCACACATTCATCACCAGCCCCGTCACACACGGCAGGCAGCCAGACGTTTCTGTTGTCGAAACTATTTTACCTGGAGAACCCCTCGATTGAACATTCGTATGCGAGCGTACCCAACGTTTCGAGTCGGTGACGCGTATGTAGCAAAGCTGACTGAAAAGCACCAGAGGGACGCAGTGCCATCGGAGCCAAACGCTATGCGTGATTGACAGTGGCAGCCCAACTCGGCTTGTATAAGTCAGGTGGGCAGCTCGGAGATCAGCAGTGTCGGGAGGGCGCACACAAGTGTTGCCAGTGGATGCACGTGACGCACCTTCCTACGCTCTGCCGTCACGCTGGGTTTAACTTCCCACCGGCTCCGAGTCTGCGAGTTCTGGGCATGGGGCGCCGTGGTGGCGAGATGTCAACTATGTCGCCTGGTATGCAGGAGATCGTGGATTCAATCCCGACCCTGGCGCCTGCTGTATATTTGTAGTTTGCGTGTTTTCTCTCCACGTGGTCGTGTGGATTTTTCTCCTGGGTCCTCTGGTTCCCCCCCCCCCCCACATGCTTTGAGAGTGTTAGGTTTCTGTAAATCTCCACGTGATAAAACCATTTCATTGAGCTATCATTTGTGGCCAGGTCACTTCTGAAAAAAGAGCTCTACAGCTCGGTGGGCCTTACCTGGTAAAATAAAATAGTTTATAGTTTTAGAATCCACCAGAGATGCAATTACATTTCCAGCACATGCCCACAGATTCTCCCCTGGCCATGTCCACTTCAGCAGCCATGCTGATGGCTGTCAAATTGTAGCAGCTGTTAATGATTATGGACTGCGTGTGCACCCGGCTACTTGTTTTTGCCGGGAACTGCATCTAGATCCATGCAGAAATGTTCATGACTACCCACAATCAGCAGGATGTGAATCACCCCTTAGTGGCCTGTCCCTAACATCTTTGGACGGGAAATCATGGATGAGGAACTCGCCACAAGTTATGCTGGGAATTGATGCATGTGTACACTCTACCAGTGGCGGGAGTGTAGCGGTTAGCGCACTGCGCTACGAACCTGGCGACACAAGTTCGATTCCCGCTCGGGATCAATAACTGTTTCGAAATATTTGAACTGGTCCTGGGGCTCGCCTAGGTCGATTCAGCCTCAAATAACGACCTGCTGGAATTGGCCACTCCCTTGTGCATCACGCCTGGCTGCGTAGGTGCCCCCTCGCTCGGCACACGCCCCAACAGTCTGTTAATGGTGATACGGGGGGAGCCTTTGTTGTCTATACCATTCATTCAATTTATTATTTCTCGAGTAAAAACTCGCCCCCATTAAAGAGGGTATCGCAGTACTTTACAGTATAAATTAAACGAAGGGAGTCCTATCGATTAAAATCGGTGTCACTTCGGCCATCATTGATGCTCCCTTATTGCTCGCGGGGGTCAAGGTCTGACATGGGTTTTTGGTCGTGTCCCCAGATCCACGAGACGTACACCGGAGTCTGCCAGAGGCACCAGATGGCGCGGTTGCACCAGTCGGAGTGCCTGGCGCTGTGCAGTCTGCTGGAGGCCCGAGGAATCCTGACCATCAAGAACTCCAAGGAGGCTCGCCTCATGAAGGTACCGATCGCTGGCGGTTGTTTTTGATAAACAATTATATTTATATCGCCGTGCAGCAAACGTGCTCGGACATTAGGAATTCGATATCCCCCAGAGCAAGACGAGTAAGTGAACTACATGGCGCGTTATACAGAAGTTATGGGTAGTACGTGGAAGGAGGGCATGTAACGTGATCAGAAACAGGAGGTCGTTGCAGGTTTGGACGTGTGTACAGGATGGTTGTTTTATCTCGCTGGACATTGGAGCGACACACAGAGGTCAACAACCTTGAGCAAGAGCGCAATACTCTGATGACGGGATACTGTAGCAGCAGGTATTAGATGTCGGGTATCTCCTGCACAATAGTAGTTTGATCTGGCAGTAGGGAGGAACTGATGACAAGGTATGATGACGTCCATGGCATTGGATATGGTGGCCTGATGAGATCTTCTTTGTGCGCAAAGCCATAATTTAAGATTAATTTTGGTTTCACGAGTTCTCAGCCGGGTTAAAGACAAGGCGCTTGAAACTCGACGCAGGGCAAGAGAGACACTTTTTGACTCGACCTCAATCTGAGAGCTGCACGCACACACGCACATGCACGTGAAGTAACGTCCGTTGTGTCTGGGCAGGTGTCGTTGAAGATCGACCAGAGCGACGTGGAGCACGCTCTCCAGGACAAGGTTCTCCTCTCGAGCATCCTGCAGGCCGGGATCCCCAAGTAGGGAGCTGCCACCTTCTCCACCTCCTCCACCTCCTCCACCTCCTCCACGCCCTTTGCTGCTGCCGCTGTCTCAAAGCGAGCCTCAACGACGACAGCCGGGGGTCCGTGTCGACGATCGACCCTTCCACCGACGAGGTTGTTTCGTTGGCGAAACTTCAGTCGGCTGACTTTTTTTAAAGCCCCTTTTTGAAAGGCAATTTTATCGCATATAGCGGCCGGGCAAAGGTGAGGACGCCGCGTCGTTTGGGAGCCATCTCCGTGCCAGCTTGTCGAGTTTGATCTTATTGACAAGTTGCTTTGTGAATTGAGTACGATTCACGTTGGGCTCAAAGCTGAGCAGCAATTCTCAAACCTATGAAGTTAACTGACAATCCACGAGGCCCATATTGCTATGACGTTGTTGGCTTGTTCCAAACTCTTTTAAAGGAAACACCGTTGATCATTGTTCTTATTGTGACTTGCAGCTTGCTGGTTGTTTTACCAGTGTGGAATGGTGAATAATGTATCTTTTCCAAACGCAACATGAAATGCACACATCACCGCCGTGCCAAGTGGCACTGGGTTCGAAGCGTTCAACTCAACCTTTGGAAGGTGTCCAGATTAATTAGTAGTTCAGGGTTGGCTTAACCAATCGTCTCCCGAGTCTGTTAAATGAGCACCACTGGGAAGTCAACAGTGGTCATCCACTAAAACAGCGTTCTGCACTAATGTTCAGAGCGGGGGCCACTTTCACCGATAAGACATCAGTGTGTGTGTGTGAAGGCCGCCACACGTTGAAATCCTTTGGGGTTTGACAGCAGCACGATGATGGGGGGGGGGGGGGGTATTTTCACTATTTATTTTCTGGGGGCCGCACTAAAGGCCACCAGGGTGCGCCATTGTCCCTGCGGGCCTTGCAATCAAGAACACTGCTCGACAAAGACTTGCTCTCCCATCAAGAACATCTCATCACTGGCTTAGAAGCCATCGAGATGAGAACTGCTCAATCTTAAGCCGAAATACATTTCCATGTGTGATGAAACTCCTGCCGTGACTTGTGAAAGTATAATGAAACTCGTCGCTGCGGTGTGGCAGCGTCGGATGTGTACACGTGAAGTGTTTTGAGGATACTTTTTTGCTGAAAATAATCAACTTTTTTCAATGCCCAGCACACACTTCCCCATTCATGTTTGTAAAATATGGAGACGTTCAATTTTGATTGAGATTTTATTGAATAACATCATGGCTATTTTACAGCCTCTTTGTATTATCCGAATCATTGTTTGGTATTATTAACCTGTTGGCATGAAACTTAATTGTGTAATTTTAGTGTTATCTGTGGTTTTATTTTGAAAAAAAGTCCCTAAAATCCAATTGCTACGTATTGTGGTGTGGATGACTTAAATTTTACGTGAAAACTTCTGAATGCCAAACTAAAATGGGGTATGCTTATGATCGAAATGCATATTATGTTTTACTAATTCAATAGTGTATCAGTTAAGTGAGCTTTATGGCCATGCGAGGTGGTGTGTGTGTGCATTATGATGTTCAACAGTTTGCAATAACAGTGTTAATATTTTAAATAAATGCTTTTATGAGGATAAATAGTATTGCCTCATCATGGATTTTCAATGCAGTGTTGCATTTGTATGTTTGGCCAATGCCTTTCTTATTGGTGTTGCATTCACAAGGTTACAAGACTGGATACACCATGCTTTCAGCCCAGTGGGTTTTGAAGTTTCACAGCACATGATTAAATGTGATCCACCCAGCCAGCTTCCTCAATTAAACATTGTTTGGTGGCAGCGGTGCACAAGCACAAATAACAAAACAATCTCAACACATTAGTCACTAGCACTGCCTTAAAAACACATTCCTGCGGAGGGAGCTGGTAGGAACGTTGGGTTTCTCGGTCAATGGCCAGGGTCAACGGCGGCGTGTATTCTGCAAATATGCCCGACTGTGAGGGCGGGCACAAGCCGGCTTGAGGTAGATTAAACGTTGAGTTTTATAAGGGCACCACGGGGTGACCAGCTCCTCCCCACCCAGCCCCTCCCCACCCTCCCCACCCAGCTCCTCCCCACCCTCCCCACCCAGCTCCTCCCCACCCTCCAACCAGCCCCACCCCTCCCTTTTTTGTATGCACGACGGACGGACACAATAATTCCCTACGGGCTGGTGGAACCAGTTGGTTCATACCAGTAAAATTAAAAGTGTATACAGTAGCACCCTGTTTACGGCGGGGATGCGTTCCTGAAAGGCGTGACGACGAATATCGAAACGCCGTCAAAGCGGTAAAAACGACATCAAAAATAGAGAAAATGTCTATTATTCCCCACAAACGTTGCTTTTGTGACCAGGACAGTGGTATTTTGAAATGTACCTATTTTAGATGAGAAAACGTGTGCACTTGTGGCATTCCTTCACATAAAGTCCTGGTCACAAAAGCAAAGTTTGTGGAAAATAATAGCCATTTTCTATACAATTTGAGGCGTAAACAATTAGAAAATAACACTTGGTACGCAGGAACATAAATCGTGTTACATGGGGAGTTATTAAATCGCAACGCAATTGTGAAATGCACGGCCACTACCCCAGAGCTTCAGCTCCAGTGATTGGCTGCTGCCGACTGCTCCCTCCTGACTCGTGGCCTCGTTGGGAAGTATCCCACCATTGATATTTCCCCATGAGCCACAATGTTGCCACGACTTTCACGGTTGGGCCCCAGTGACTGTTAAATGGGTCTTCAAAAAGAAAAAAATAACCCGTAAAAACAAAGTTTTTCACTATAAATCCTTTATATGCGTGGCGGCTCGAGTCCTCTCGTCCTCTGGCTTGAGATGGCTGCCACCTATGGATCAGATGATTGCCTGCCACCATTAAGCAATTGGTAATTAAATATAAAAAAAATCCTAAAAAGTGTAAAAATGTGGAAAAAAAATTCACGAAAATTAATTGTCACGCACAACGAGTCTGTGTGCAAAATGTCAGCTCGATTAGATCACGGGAAGTGGGTTAAAAAACGACCGAAAGATTTGCACGGTCGTAAGCGCGCAAGCAAGCAAGTGAACTTAATATAAAGGATTTAAAAAGAAACGGATTTGCCCGAAATGTAGTCGCAGTCGTTGTCCTGTACTTCATCTTAATCGTCATCTAAAGCCAGACTTAAGATCATCTTAAACCTGGTGGAAAATACAACATTCAACTGGGCGGATCTGAGAAAAATCTTGAATTAAATCTTTCGTGACTGCAGGAATTCATATTCTTTGGGTTTTTCGGTAAGGTCACGTGGATAGGTTCAAAGAAAATAACAAAATACTACGATGTTTCGATCGCTTGTTTTGCGATCGAAGCGTAGTTCTTTTTATTTTCTTTCAACCTACGTGACTTTACCGAAAAACCCAAAGAATACAGATCTGAGAACTTGCAGTATTAAAACATAAGCGACAGTGTTCCTTCTGCAATTTCTAATAAAATACTTCCACCACATCCGGCACCTTCCAAGGGAGGCGTGATCGCCTCGTAGCGTCAGAACGTAATCGCAACAACACCCTTTGCTGTCTGATTATCCTGCTCGTGTGTGTGACAGCCGAGCCAAGGCGACTCCATACCCCCATAGGTGCACGCACACTCCCCACACTTGTGTAATAAAGGACTCGGACACTTCCTTCTGTCTTCGTGTCTTTTATTGGGTTCTCGTCTTCACCCACACGGCACTCTGTTATAACTCTGTATTTGTAGCCCCCGGCTATTCACTGCTATTATAGCTTCTTCTTCCCTCTGACTCTCTGCTTCATCTACTGTAACCTCCTCCCTGCAGACTTGCTGCTACCTCTATGCAGACTCCCGCTGCTACCCCTATGTGCAGACCCTCTGGCTGCTACCGTATGCAGACCCGCTGCTGACTCTGTATGCAGCCCCGCTGCTGACTCTCTGTGCAGCCCCGCTGCTGACTGCAGCCTCCTCGCTGCTTCGGGTCGGTCACCGCTGGCCAACGGTGCCGATCCTCGCTCCCCCGTGTCGTGGCGATCTCGCCACCCTCCGCTTCGCCCTTCGTGGCCTCTCTCTGTTCCTGGTTCCCCGTCACTCCCGTCCTCTTCCGGTTCCCCTCCTTCTATAGCCTAACCCCTCACCCCCCCACGTGACCTAACTCCTCCCCTCCTGACGTCACCTCCGGAGGGCCGTTTACGCCCGCATTACATCACCCTCCCCCATAAAGAAAATCCAGCCGACCTCGGCTGAATTGCAACCTGACAAGAAATGCGGGTGTAAAGGGCCAACACGTAAAAAGACACGAAGCATGCAACAACAATATAACCAGAACACAACACAATACAATTTTAACGAAACGTGAGGGATTTCGAGCGAGTACGGGCAGCCGGGCCGTCCCGGACGGTCGGCAGACCACCCGCCGAGCGGGAACGTGGAAGGGTTTTAGGGGCGACGGGCGCAAGTTCTTCCGTCGCCATTGGAGGCCCGCCACTGTCCCGCTCGCGTCCAGAGACATCCCGTACTCGCGTCCGCGGAGGGATAGGAAGAGCTGCAGGTCCCGTGGGTTCTGCGGCTCCAGTCGACGTCCCACGAGCGGAACGTCCTCCTCCCTGCGCTGTCACGGCCGGCTTGTCTGTGAAGGGTACGACAGGCGCTCTCGCAAGGTCAGCAGACACAGGCAAGGTGCGAGTCGGCAGCAACAGACCCCGGCAAGGCAACTTCGGGAGATGACGCATCCGGCCGCGGGGCAATGTATGGCTTCAACCGGGATGTATGCACGAACCAGCGCCGTGAACCAACCTGAACACGCGCCGACTGTGGGTTGGGAACCTCAATGAGGCGGACCGGACTCTGCCAAGGTCTATGTAATTTAGGAGAGGTACCTGGCCGCACCTGTGGGCAATGAAGCCAGGCCAGGTCCCCCTTTTTCCAGGGGCACTCCCCCTTTGATCGTCGGGCACACCGCTCATTCCTGGCCTGAGCCTTGGCAGTAGCCATGCGGGCACTTTCCCTCGCCTCAGCGACACGCCGAACGTTGTCCTTAATATACTCAGGAAGAGGCTTAACAGGCCCCCTCGCGCCGGTTCCCAACTGTTCATTAATCGGCGGCACATTCTCACGGCCGTACATAAGGAAGAACGGCGAGTATCCAGTAGCCGCGTGCG